TTTATCAGAGGGTCTGGTGTCGGCACAAGCTGCTCCCTGAGAAGGGGCAAAGCCACGTGCTCCCATCCCAGAGCCGCCACACCTGCTCCTCCACCCTGGGAACACTACCCTGCAAAATTCTTTCCATGCGGAGAAATTAGGTAGTTTATATTCTTCATCAGGCCCCCAGACACAGGACTGCGGGGGTAATGCCTGCTGGCTGTGTATTAGTATTCCTTGTAGTACAGCATCATCTAAGAATAACAACTAACAATGTATGACCCTTCTCACAGCCTTGCTTTCAATTTCAAATCAGTTGTACCTTTCTCTAATTCATTAGTGAAAAGTGACGTTATCAATGTATGAAACTCAGTTTACCTTGCAGCTTTTTGTAATTAAATGAACCTTCAGATTCAATGAACGTTTGTATTTTTCAGTGTTCTCTGAATTCTAATGCTGTTAATGAGCCTAAGCAGCTGGAAAGTTGGATGTTTCCAGGTTTACTTTTTATGAAGATTGACAAGGGGGAAATAGGTTTTCAGGAAACACACTTTTTATCCTGAGTTTTTTCTTTTAAATCACATGAATTCATGCATGCCCACAAAGTAGATGGAAAATGTGTCAGTGTTTTAGATTTCATAGTAGTAGAGGGAGGGAAGAGAAAGTAAGATTAATATTTTTTTTCATCCTTCATTCAAATAATTAATAATGTGTCTTTCTAACATACAAAGCAGGAAATAAGGAGTGAAAGTAAAAAACCACAAATATTCACATAATTTCTTCCCGTAACCTTCAGAGCATGAAAATATTTTCTTTTAATATATGATTACTTAGCTTAATTACTTCCAGTGACATTAGAAGTCTTTATAATACATTAAACATTGTTGGCTTAGAAGGAAAATGCTGCATTTTGCTTATCAAGATCAGGGTAACACTAGTATAAAGCCATTTGTTTTACAAAAACAAGTCACAAAGGTATTAAGTTAGGAAGGAACTAAAAGAAAGATTAAATAATATTATTCATTGGATCAGTAGTATTTAGAAGCCAGGCAAGAAGGACTAGTCCCTGCCAGATAGATATAAAGAAAAATCAGACATCCAGCATGTAGTTCTATATGTGTTTTAAATAACCGTTAAGTATTAACTTGGGCCTTTTCATTGGATGAAAATCTGAATATCATCCATAAAATTCCACTGCATTTTAACAGCAATGGAGTGCTGCGGTCTCAGTTTCAGAATATCAGCTTTTCAGCAGAAAGAGGATAACCAGAGACATCTTTTTTCCACACTTGTTTCTTTCTTTTTAAATGCTTCACATTATTTTTCTCTCTATAATTCTTTCTTCTCCAAGACAACATTCCTTCCTTTTCAGTGGTCTTCTGGGATGGTAAACTAGAATGGGGAAAACTACTGCATTTAAGAAGAAAATGCTTGTTTGGTTTTAACAGACGGGCTATTTTTAAAAATTGGTTGGATTATAAAATTAGTCCATTAAACAAATTAATAATTTTACAACTATCTGTAGCAGTCTACACAGCACTTGTAAGGTCTGTTTGAAGGAGCAGTTTGTTTCATTGGATCAGTTACTACTGGGGAACATGCATTAGTGCTCAGAAGCCATGGGTCATTTGTTACCAACTAATAAGAAGCTACTTCTCCTTACACACCTTTGCCTGACTTGTGTCCTTAAACCGTGGCCACAGAAAAACCCTATTACCTTACGCAGCCTTTACTACTTTTGTTTCTCAGGGTGGTATTCTGCTGACATGTCTGACTGAGCGGAGTGCTTCATTCAGATAGGTGTCTTTCTGCATCATCGAAGTTTTGCAATACCAAAGATTGGAAACAATGTAAGTGCTATCTGGGGTAATCCATACTCTTCTGCCTCTGTATATGAGGCTTGTCTTGGGTTACTACCATGATTCATCCCCCTGTGCTTCTCCCATTCTAAATCCTGCATATCTACCTGGCGCTACTAGAAATGGCACCTAAAAGACATGCCAATATGTTCATCTGTGAGATGCACATCGTGCTTCTCAGTCCACCAGTACCTGCTCTACATCTAGATAGTCCTAAGGCAAGGCTTATTGATGTGCTTCTTTGAAAGAATGCAAAAACAATAAAAAACTCCTTAAAATTCAAAGATTCAAATTAGCTCCGGGTCAAAAATCTGTATTAGAGATGCCAGAGTGTTACTAGGAATGTAACTCAGTGCTACTGTTCTGCATCCAAAACTCACATTCTCAACAGTTTTCACCGTTAAAGAAGCTGGTCCTAAATACAAAAAGGCAATTGACATTTACAGAAAGACTTCTATCAGTTTCTATGCTTTTTGAATCAGACCTGTTAACTTGGGATTTCCATGGGCTACAACTTGTTTCTGTAACATCTTTGCCATCATTGTTGTAGTTTTGTTTTTATTTTTTCAGAACAAAAGCAAAAACTGTCCATATTTTGTTTCATTATAATTGAGAACAAGTCAAATGGAAATAATGGTTTTAAAAAATTCTCTGGGAAAATACATACACTGACTGACCGTTTACTTATGTGTGCTATGTACATAAATATGGCTCTTAGCAATAGAAGCAATAAAAACTTTAAGCAAAATAAACAGAGCCTCTCTCTTTTTATTCTTGATTTATTACTTCAATTATTTTTTTTAATAACATTGAGGTGAATAACTGAAAATTCATTTCACAAACATTTAATTTGTGCCATAAGCTGGTAGTAGATCTGTACTCAATCCAGCCTCAGACTATATCCTTCTCTGGTTGTAAATATCTCAGCAATGTGGGATAAGGATAACATATCAGCCAAAAATCTCCTCTTCCTGACACCTAGAGAAAGGTATTAGTTGTGTTACAAATTACCATTATACTAAATGATGTTACAGTTATCCCAGCAATGAATTATACAATGTGAAAACACATAAACTCTAAATGATTGCAAAAATGTATTATTTGAAGGAAAAGTAAACCTGATAGGTGACATCTAAGAATGAAGTTCAAAATTCAGGGTCTATTTTTTACTGTCAAATTATTAGCATTCCTTGAAAAATGCTCTGTGTGCTCATTATTGGGGAATGGGTTTAAAAATAGCATGTACTGCTCTTGGCCACTTATTATGAATATGAACACATTTATTCTTTTTAATGTATTTCAGACAATCTCTCAGAGAAAGAATTTATCATATACACGGTCCAAATCAAGAATACATTAATGTTTAGTATCTTCAGAAACGAAATCTGTACCGAAAGGCTGCAGCTGGCTCTTACCTACATGGTAAACTGAACTTCTGAACTAACCAGATCAAAACTTACAGGTGATTGCAATCCAGACCAAGACTCTGCAGTTCGAGCAAAATACCACTACAAATACAGTGCTTATGTATTTTTTTAATGTTTGGGAGACTCTTCTACTTCTCACTTGAAGTAAAAAGTGGTTTTCCAGATGTTTGAAATGTAACTGTCAAAATAGCTGTCCAAATCATCTGTTTAATTTGGATCAGTATTTAGTCACGTAAAACATAAACCCAGGTATCCCGAGCGACAGATGTGGCAAGTAGTTTTCATGGCAACACCTGGCATTTACTTGCTATTAGCAGAGGATTCTTTGTGGGTTAAGTATAACCAAATAAACCTAACAATTGGTACCAAACTAGACTGAGTTGCAACATTAAGCTACGGAGTTCCAGAAATGAGTTATTTCCACCTCCTTTGGCAGAACCCATCTGCTGCTCCTAAAGCGAAGGGAATCTACAACTTACCTAGAAAACAGGCTGAATTTGGGGTAGATCACTCCTTCCTATGGAAAAACTTGCAGAAAGACACCAGATAGAGGGGGAAGAAAATCCTTTCCACCCGTTGGTTCAGCGAGGGGTGGGAGCAGAGGGCTGTCCCGGGGCGGAAGTGCAACCCAGGTGCCCTGGCGGGAGCAGGAGCGGGAGCGGGAGCGGGAGCGGGAGTGGGGCAGCTCGAGCTGCCTGCCGGCCCTCCACGATGCCTGCCCGCCATTTGGAGCCACTCTGCCTGGGCTCCAGGCATCCTGCAGAGGACCCTGCGCTTCAGAGCTGCAGCTTGAAGAAATAGTGGATCAGAAGATGACCAAGCTCGCCTTCTGCAGAGAAATGGACACCTGTCCTAATTCTTCCCCCCACCTCTGCATTCTGCTTTTATAAAAGCACGGGAGGGGGGGATTTTTCTCTTCCAATATTTGGAACGTACTCTTGCATTCAATCATTCCTTTTACGTGCCACTTCTGATCATTCTGATACATTTATGCCCGACATAAAAAATATTATTGGTATCTACAATAATGCAAACAACAAATAAACATTTGAGTCCATCCTATTACTGATGCTGGTGATCTGCCTTGGTGTTGCTATATACCACACAACATGAACTTTTCTTTGTTTTTTTCAAGTGAGAACCTGGAACTGTCTTACCATGTCTTAAATGTCACTGTTCCTAGACTAATCATATACACAGAGGAGTAGAGATAAACATGTGTAATCATAAACACAACATGGTTTGAAGGAAAAAAAAAAAGCCCTAGTAATTCTTCTCCCGCTATAGCACAGGTTGGTGGGTTGGAGCAGACTTCAGTAGTGGCAGATGATATATGAAATACATCAATTTGCATATGACACAGCTTCTCTTTTATTTCAGCAATGGCCCAGTGAACCTTGCTGAAACATTCAGGATAAAGTTAGTGAAGCCTGTAACAAGATTCTGATAGCAGAAGCCATATATGCAAAATTCACAGCAAATTATGTTATGAATATTATCAGCCTCACTGGAAAACACTTTCTTGCCTGCGTTGGTTAAACCATATGCTATTATCACCAGTATCTAAAAAGCAGACTATAGGTATCTATAGCGAAAATATACTGCTTGTCAATGCATATGGTTATTACCTTTTTATCAGTTAAATGTGTATCTGATTAATGCCTTTTCTTAATACAAAAGCGTATATATTGCACTTCTAAAGAGTTAACCGTAAAAGCATTTTTGCTTAACTTACCAGTTGTTGAAGCTGGAAGGAGTCTTGCCCTAAACTCTCTACCTGCTCTCATGTTGGTAATCTCTGTCTCTCTCTCCCTCTCTCTCCCTCCCCCCATGCAGAGATTGCAGTAAACTTAGAAAACTAGCAGGGACAGTGTTTCAAATGACTTAAGAAAGAGAACAGGAACAATCATTTCGTTCTCTTTTTTTCAGATGAGTACAGTACCTTCAGAAAGAAGGAAGGAAGGGAGGGGAGAGGAAGTCAACAACCCTTTGCTTTCCTGCAAAAAAATAAGGAAACAGCAGATAGCAATCTCATTTTCTCTCAAACAAAATGTTTGGAAAAATAAATATATCCAAACCAAAGGGAATTCTTCAAGTATTATATCGGCATTATTGGCTTCATAAAACCTACTTTACAGCTTGCTATGTGCAACTACATGAAATGAATTTCCGAAGTAGTGGGTAGGAATGAGACACCCATATCTTATGCAGAACAATTAGCCATAAGCTCACACAGATAATGCAGGCTTTTACTCTAGAGAAGGAGTGATCATAGATGTATACACATATCTCGTTTCCATGGTGATATAGGTGCAAAAATTCCTAAAACCACTCTTTACTGTGATCACAAGAAAATAGCACACTGGATATTTATAGAATGCTGTGAAATAAAAAGGGGGATGAAAGGGGTCACAAAAATGGTAAGGATCATAGCTTGATATCGGAGTTGCAGTAACAAGTAATTTATCTCAAAGAATTGCATTATAGAAGGCATCCTGATTTTTTCAAACAAAACCAACGTGCTATGTTCTAGGACAGGTTTTATACTTTATTTCTTTCTTTCCCCATTAAGCATATTTTCACAACGAGATACTGGCCAGCTGGCTGGAGTTATACGTGGGATAAGTTTAGTCCATTGTGCTCCACTGTGGTTTTGTTTGCTTGTATGTTTTCCTCCAACTTTGTCTATCATCTGAGGTCCACTTTTAGTGATTAGATGCTCCCTTTCCCCCCCCCCTATTTTTTTTTCATTCTAATATTCTTGCCAGTAAACACCTTCACACTATCACTGCGGCTGCGTTTTCAGCTAGCCTTGTAATGTAGTCCTGAAGGTGGGGCTGCTCATCGACAAGCAATTCAGGTTTGAGTTCTGTGAAAGACAGAACAAAAAGCCATTTCAAATGGCCCTCTCCTATAAACTGTGCATCCAGACTTTGCTCTGGGAGCAATAGCTAGATGAATGCTGCTGAAGTAAATTGAGTTATTGCTATAAATCCAGTGTTAATGGGAGGACAAGTTGGTACACCATCCCATAAAGATTATTATTTCTTTTACTGTACAATAACGAGAATTGATAAGTTGCAAACCAACATAGGAAGTAGCTCTTTGGCACCTGTGTTCCTTCATGCAGTTCCTGGTGCTATTTCCAGAAGACGTCTAGCAATGATTTGGCTGGAGAGGCTTTTATTTTAATATTCAGAAACTGAAAGCTTTGATAATGGACACCAGTAGTTGACAGAGCAGTGCAGGTGCTACGAGTGATCTCTGGCCTTAGAACATCACCATGTTTTCTGGAATGGGTGAAAGCTTAACAGAAGGGTGAATTTTAAAAGCAAAAGAATGCAATGCACTTAGGGTATATACTGGAAATTAAGGGCTTGATACTTCCTTGGGAATGGAGGCCCTAATAAAACAGGTCTCTAGTGCATACCAAGCACAAGGAAAGTAAAGAGTATTTGGTGGGAAGCCACCAAATTGTATTGTCTACTGGGGTCAGGCAAATAGCTCAAAAAATTTGATTTTGTTTTGAAATTGTTTTTCAAGATCTTAAAGATGGTAGCAGCTTCCAGGCTTTTTAAGTTTGTTTTATTTATTTATTTGCCAGGCCTGCCAGGTTAATGAGACCTTGAAGACTGCCATTACGTATCATTTTGTTTCTCTCCGTTGGGAACACATTGCAGAAGTTTAGTTGAAAACCTATACTGACCAAGTTAGGATCATTCTTGTCTAAGTCGCTGGGGGTATGTCATAGTCTGTGTAGCCTCTGTGAAGGACTTAATTGTTACAGGTGTCCCATACTTCTTCAAACAGCAGGATTCCCTTTCTTGAGGATTGCAAAGCTAAGAAGCTGGCCACAAACATCCATGTGGCATCTTCAACAGGTTATAAGACCTTGCTATTCTGATTGGAGGAGACTGTGAGAGCCCCCCACTTCAGCAAGGAGAGCAGGAGATGTAACGTCTTTGCTAATCCTACCTCCGGTCCCTTTGTCAGCAGCCTTTCCACCACCCAAGTGCTCAGGACTTACTTAGTTGCCCCACCCAAGGCCAGGTAGAGTAATCTTGTTTCCCAGCGTGCGGCCACTGTAGTACTTGACTTGCTCTTACTTCTGCCAATTTCTCCCAACTGCTGCCAGAAAATCACAACCCGAGGAGGAAGAGGCACTGAAACTGTGATTTTCACGCCAGAAAAATACCTTGCAAGGTCATTGCCTGTGCAATTACTGACTGTGGAGAAATAAAAGCATGGCTGAAATCATGGGTATCTAGAGTCATGCAAACCAAGTCACAACAGATTACACTATTTATTATATTTACCCAAATTTTAAGGGACAAGTTCATCTGTTTTTTGGAACATATTTCTGGAAGAAGTGTTAGTCTTCTTTTTTTTTTTTACCTTTTCTCACTGTGCTGTTACCAAAATGAAGCCACTGATACAAATTCAGAAAGGTACAGTGCCAGCCTCAATGCAGATAAGTGAACAACTTCAAGTGTTAAAGTGCTTCCCAGGTCCAGTATGTAGTCTCTTGTAAGGAGTGGCCAGGAAAGAAAACATTCCTGTGGTCATGGTCAGGGTAAGGACTGAGGACCAGGAAGACTCCTCTAGTACCAGTCTGTATGACCAGACTAGATCTTCAACCAGACTTAGCATCTATGATGTTAAGGCCTTGATTTCCTTTTTTTTAGTTTTTCTTTTTTTTTTTTTGCTCCAGTAGGGAATAAATTGTGTTTCACAGGCTCTTTCCAATGACAGCAGGGATGCTTTCCTATATGTTCAAAATAAGAACGAAATAAACAACTTCAGCGTGCCAAAAAAAAATTGAGCTTCTATCCAGCATAGATAGGAGAGAACACGGAGGTAACTGCAGCAGCAATAGTATTCCACTTCATCCTGAGAAAATGAGACCAGAGGCAAAAACCAGAGAGACATTTACTGTTTTGCTTGATTGCTTTAGGACAATAACCATATACATCTGAACTGTTTGTGAAAAAATAAGATTATTATCTTCCTTCGGGTCTACAAGTATACCTGTGGCATTTTAACTGAGTAAAAATAATATACTTCTCAGAGACAAAAAAACTGAAGGACATTGAATTGTTTTCCGTAAGTCACTCTCTGCTGTGCTTTCCTGGTTTCTTTTCTGCATTGCACGTTTACTGTAGACTGTTCAGGGACAAGCTGGCAGAATGCTAATGGGACCAGAGACAAGCGGAGTGGAGTCTAAAGGACTCCCCTTTTGTGCTGCAGCATGTGGAGAATGTGGCTTTAGTCACCAATATTTGGTTATGTATTGCGATTTGTGGTATTGCTATGCGTTAAGCCTGCATGCATTGTTACACAATAATATATCTCCAGGTTTTTTTTTTTAATTATTGCAGTCATACTATATGTATCTTATTTAGTTTCTCAGATTAGAAAATATTAGAATATTAGAAAATATTCCAAAGGTTTTACACTAATACCTGTCTTTCATGATCATAGTATGATCACAGTATTCTCACAACTATGTGCTTTTACAGCTAGATTTACTACTCTGTCATCTACATACTCTTTACATTTGAGTTAGGTAATATCTAATCACCACTTTAATGAACTGTTAGCATTTGCAGACTATAACCTTTGGATCAACCACATTTGTCAATTGTTTTGGGGAGAGAAAAGTGGGAATTTGTATTAAAGAGAGGAGCTTTCCTGGCAATAAACACCTTATTATAAATTAAAGTGGCCTTTATAACTCATCCTGGGCCAAACTCATTTCTGGTAAATGACATTAGCTGCAGTCATTTAAAGTCAGGCTTTTCCTGTACCCTGTATGTAATCATCACAACTACCTTTATTAAAACAATACCATCAAAAGCTATTTTAAAATAAGATGGTATGATTAAGAGGATGTGTTTTCATCTTTTAACATACATAAAGTTATGTTAGCAGGATTGTGAGCCCTATTCAGGTCAGAGGTGGACAAGAACTTGGCTTTGGTCAGTATGTTTGAATTTGCTGTCACATTTGAAGAGCTGTTAACATGTGGAAAGTTGCCAAAGTATCCACCAGGATTTTTGGTGGTTTTTCAAAGCTGGCCATTTGACAGCAGTAAAGGCTGCAGTTTTACCTCTACTTAGACTGGCAAATTAATCCAGCATTTGTTCTGGTCTTTCTTGGTGATCTTGCTTGATTAAGAGTGTTCATGTACTCTAACATCCACTAAGTGTACTGTAACACCTGAAATTACTTAACATCTTTACAGGCTTAGGCTGGGCATCTAATGTTGTAAAATGTGTCACTCTTCAGAAAATATCAGGAAAAGGCAGTTTGCATATTCTTCCCTGTGCAGTTGTTTCCTACCTTGTTAGCTCTGATAATATGATGGTATTTCTTCTGGAAGCCTGACAGTATATTTCAGGAGGAATTTGACAAGGATATGAATTTATCTCATTTTTGTAATGAGTCTGCAATTGCAGTCATTTTCATTTTAATTATTTCAGTCACTTAGCTAATGTATTCTCTGTCTCATATGAAGTAAATAATAGTAATGATTTTTGAGATATGCTTTTGTCCTTTAGTTTGTGATATTTTTCCAAAGTATTCAGTGATTATGCTACAGCTGAAGTGCTGTGGGCACTTAAAAAAGACCCTTTCTGGGAGCAAACTAAAGATAGTGAAAACCTACCACCGCTGCTAGCAAGTAGTGCACCTCTGATTTATAGCTGCTAGGCTGTAGAGCCAAGAAAACTCTTGGGAAATCAGTTCTCCACACCTGTGTGAATGATGATAAATTGTGTCTCTAAGGCTTTTTTAAACTCTCTGTGCTTTAGAGAAAGAAAGGAAGAATCCTTCTACTTGTGTTTAGGTTTGGGTTTGGGCGTGTTTGTTTCTTT